CCACCCTAGATTGAACCCCGCCATGACCAGGACCCCCATCCTGAAGGAGACCCCCATATCTGGGACCCCCTAAACCAGGACCCACCTCTCTGGGACTCCCACCTCAACTGGGATCCCCCTTCCAGGGACCCCCAACCTACCTGGGACCCCCCCTGACCAGGACCCCCACCCCAGATCCGAGCCTCCTTTCCAGGACCCCCCCAGGGGTGGGTGCTGGAGGGCAATGGGAGGGATATTGGGGGGCAATGGGGGGATATTGGGGTGCAACAGGGGGTTTGGGGTTCCTTCAGGTGCATGGGGCAGATCGGAGGGTCCTTGGGGTGCTGTAGGGTCTCCAGGGTGCTGTGGGGGACAGATCAGGGGGTCCCTAGGGTGCTGTGGGGACAGACTGGGGGGGGGTATGGGTGCTGTGAGGTCCCCAGGGTGCTCTGGGGGACCCTGTGACAGCCCCTCATGACGGCCGGTGTCCCCAGGGTGACGATGGTGACACCAGCGGTGCTGCGGCTGGAGACAGAGGAGCAGGTGGTGCTGGAGGCACCGGGGTTGACCACCGCCACCGAGGCCGTCATCCTGGTGCAGGACTTTCCCCTCAAGCGCCACGTGCTCTACCAGGTCCGCGTGCCGCTGAGCCCCGCTGAGGGCATGTTGGCCACCACCACCATCAAGGTATGTCACGACCCCCGCGTCACCTCCCCGCCGGTCACTGCCCCCTCCTGCCCTGGGGAGGGTGGCCCATGGGGCTCAACCCTATCTGAGATGGTGGAGAATCTCCATGGGGCTGATGGGACCTGGGGGAGGATGGTCACCATGGGGTGTTTGGGGATGGTTGCTGTGAGGTCCTTTGGGACAGTCACTCCAGGTCCTTGGGGACAGTGACTCTGGGGTCCTTGGAGATGGTCATGCTATGATTAGAGGATGGTCACCCATGGGTCCATGGGGATGGTCACCTCTGGCTCTTTGGGGACAGTCCCCTCGGCATCCTTGGAGATGGTCACCCCTTGGTCTTTGATGATGGTCACCCTGGAGTCCTTGGGGACTGTCACCTGGCATCCTCAGTGCCGTTCCCTGGGCATGGGTGCCATCTGGTGTCCCCAGCCCCATCCCTGTGGTGCAGGTGCCACCCGGTGTCCTCTGTCACCGCAGGTGTCAGCCAAGATGCTGCCGCAGGCGGTGGGGAAGCAGTTTGTCTCGGTGACAGCGCGGGTGGGCGCGGTGACCCTGGACAAGGTGCTGCTGGTGTCACTCCAGAGCGGCCACATCTTCCTGCAGACCGACAAGCCCATCTACACCCCTGGCTCCACTGGTGTGTCCTTGGGGTGCTGGGTCTTATCATGGCATGTTGGGGTGCTGGTGGCACCTTGGGGTGCTGGGGTCCAGCATCCATTTGGAGACCTCCCCATGATGTCCCCATTTTGGGGTCCAGCACCCATTTGGGGACATCCCCCTGGCATCTCCACTGGGACCCAGCACCCATTTTGGGGTCCAACACCCATTTCTGGATGTCCCCACACCACCCCTGCTCACCTTGTCCCCCGTGTCCCCTCCCAGTGCTCTGCCGCCTCTTCGCTGTGGGCCACCTCATGGAGCCAGCGCCCAAGACAGTGATCATGGAGGTCAAGGTGGGTGCCCGCTGGGGACACAGGAACATGGGGACACAGCTACCCATGCCACCGTCCCCAACCACTCCATGTCCCTTCAGACGCCTGATAACGTCATCATCAAGCAAGTGCCCTTGTCCTCACCAATGAAGACCGGCATCTTCTCCCTCAACCACAACCTGCCCGAGGTCATCAGGTGGGTGCCAGCTCCCAGGGTGGCCTGGGGACATCTGTGGCCCCAGGCTTGCCCCCTCACCCTGTCCCCCACGTTTTCCAGCCTGGGGACATGGACAATAATGGCCAAATTTGAAGACTCACCAGAACAGGTCTTCACCACCCAATTCGAAGTCAAAGAGTATGGTAAGGTGGGGTGGGGGTCCCCAGGCACCTGGGTCCCTTGTATCTGTCCTGGACGCCCTGGTCCATTGGGTGTCCCCCCCCAGTGCTACCAAGCTTTGA